TGGCCTGCTGTGTTCATCCAGCTCTACACCTTATTATCTCAGATTCTCCAGCATCTGCAGTTCCTACTATCTCTGAGTCAATTAAGAGTGTTGGAAGAGAATTATGAGAAGCAAAAATCTGCAATTAGGTTTCCTTCTCCTGATTACTACCTAGTGATCAAGGTTGGAAGATGATGGGGTGGAACTGTAGATCTTGCTAGTAAAGACTGTTCACATTCAGCCCCAATGAGTTGCCATTTGAATGACTACCATATGGACAAAGAGAAATGAACCACAGCATGAATCAGCACCTTCAATAGAGAAGGGAAGATGAGAAATACATTGCGTAAGCTCAATCTAGAATAACTTTTTTGCAAAATCACAGTGATATATGTTATACATTTCAATCACAATCTTTACTCAAATCCTTCTATCCCAGTTATTATTTTAATTTACCTTCAGCTCAATCTAGCTATGTTTTACATTTTACCTCCAAACGTTAAACATGTGAGAAGATTCTTGGTAATCTCATTTCTGAAGGAATGCTCACACAATACAATTACCAAAGAATAGCCTGTCTAACTGTTTTTTACAGAATTGTTTGGGTAATCATTCCTAATATACATTCGTCTCAATTCTCTGCTCATAGCCCCTCATCTTCACTGTCCCAAAGAAAAACCTTTCATGTATTGGTTATTTGGATTCAATTGCTGGTTGCCTTAACTGAGCTTAGTCTGGGGACGCAGCACAGTGTACAGTGCCTAGACTTTAATGGGATTCAGTCTGAATTATTTAGCACTATTTCCTTTTGTTATTTTCATTATCATGACCCAATCTTAAAATGTCTAATATGAATCCAAACAGAAACCCAGACGAAAAGCTAACGTTCCTACCATGCTGGGCTGCTTTGTGAGAGAAGCTAAGCAATAACAGATCAACTATTTAAACAGTATTACAGGAACTCTGTTCACCTTCCACAAGGATTTGGACTATGTAATGGGAATGAAGTTGGGTGAGGATCACACAACAATGAGAGACTAATAGTTGTACTTGAAATTATTAGTTAAGTAACTCATCAAATGAGCAGGTATCAGCTTTCCGCTTATATCTATCAGACTTGGATGGGACAAGTAATTATGGGCCAGGACTTTGGTGGATGGTCACCAACAGTATATAAGTCACACGGTCAAAGATGTTGCACTGCCCATTTCAATAAACTAGGCAGTCACCTGTGACTGGCAAAATGAACAAATTGTCTTTGCCAGGAGATGTAATGTGTTGTTTATTCTCGAAAATCATTCCCATTTTCTTTAAATCCTTTGCTTCCCTGAAGACTCACAGTTTGACCTACAGTCAGCCTCAACAGTGTTGTGCAAGCATTCCCCCAAGCTATACAGCACCTACCATTTTAACTTTTATCGTTGAAACACTAACAGTCCTCTAAAACTGCAATCTTTCTCAAACACAAGGAAGCTCACAGTGTATTAATTCCCTAAAATCTCTTTGAGAGGAAGTCAGAGATACAAAATTTGACTCTTTGTACAGAAACAGGACTTTTAGCATTTTATTGGCAGAGATACCTTCATACATGGAGTAGTACTGTGCTGCTTAGAGCACTACAATACAACAGAGGAGGGATGTAAGGCTAAGGACACTCAACAAGCACTTTGTTTAACTTGTTTTGAAGATTTGATGTTCTCATACTACTTTTTTATAGCAACTATTACAGTAATATGTTCTTTTGCTTTATTTAGTAATTCTATCTTCAAGTGTCTTATTACACGTGGGCAGTTTAACCTTTAATATTAAGGATCTGTGCAGACAGACCATGATGCCATTTGCGCAATTTGGCAAAGCGTGGACCTTTTACTTCATGTTCAAACTTTTCCCTGTGGCATAGAGAAAGAGAGAAAAAGAGAGGAGGAGAAGAGTAAGGCATTAGGGAAAACGGCCTCCACTCTTCTGACCTTACAACTGTATAGCAAGCAAAACTAATGCATTACACAAATGACAAGATTTAAAAAATGTCCCCAACTGATCCAATGTTGCAACAAAGACAAAGATGTTTTGCACATCGGTTTTTGAACCATTAAGACCGTTTAAATGGTACCCTTTACATGGAAAGAAGTTGATCATTTTTATGTAGAATCAGAAACTATGTAAGCAACCCCCACGAATTAGTGTAGATTTGGCAGGATACATTTATGGATTTGGGGAAGTGGGGACAGGGTAGTAATGGTGGCAGCACCAGTTTGGGGGTTTTCGTTGGAAACACAGATCTTTTGGAAAGCACCATGATACAATGGTAATGCCTCACTGCAGTCACCAAACCATAACTACCTCATTAAACAGTGTGTACTTAGAGAATGATATTCTTTCATTGTTGGCACAAACACATACCTACAGAACCCTGAATGTTTGTCATAAGTGGAACCCGATGTAGGATTCTTCATCCAATTTCAATATTTTCATTTAAAGTTTTAAGTTAATTGTTTGTTATCTCAATAACCCCAACTTTCTATAATTGACTAACGTTGAATTTATTGCTAAGTGTATAAATGCATTTTAACAGTAATATGCCTGAAGTATGTGCTAAGTGGGCCAATGACTGCTGCTTTTGCCAGAAGCCTACCTTGATCTTTTCATCGCATCCTCATCTGGATCTTGCACTAGAAAACAAAAGATCTAAATGAATTACCATTCCTAGTGAAACATGCTCACATACCTATTTACATATTCGCAGGGCTCCAGGTTAAATGCTAATCCTAATAATCTGTTTGCAGAGGATGTTTCATGAGAAGATGAAAGTTGCCCTATTCTAAATATATTTGGGTTCAGTCTTTACGAAACTTAACCTCAGAAATGGGTCTAATCTGATGTTGAATCTCAACACATGCCAAGTATTGGCAGTAAAATCTGCCCAAAGACCAGCTAATGTTCAATTTGATCAATGTTATTACAGCTTGACAGCAACACCATTCAATAATTAAAGGATGAAAAATTAAAATAAATTCTGCATCTCTGTGAGCTAGACTTGAATGCAAGAAAATAAAGGGAAATGGCCCCACCCAGTTTCATCAGAGAGGAACAAATATTCTACTCTCTTCCTGGGTTGTGTTGAAGACAGGATCTGACAGTTTACCACATTGCACCATCCAGCTCCATTAAAAACAGGATTTCTATGAGGATATCACAGTCCTGCTTAAAAAGGAAAGAGGAGACCAACAAAAAGGAGAACTTCATACTGAAAAGGTCATATCCTACAGTCCCTTAGATCAGATGTGCACAGGGTGGATTTACTCTTGCACTTCTACAGAAGTTCTCCATTCCTATTTTTGGTAAAATAAATTTATTTTGAGTGGTTTACACTACATGCATCAAATTTTTTAATCTTCAAAATGGGAGATGGATCATTTAAACAGAAGTGTGTACTAGATATTAGACGGTGATTCTATTGAGTTGGAGACCTGGGTATGACGAGGGGAGAGAGATACATTGAGAAAGGGAAGAATATTTATTAAATAGTCACTTTATAAATTAACTAACACTTTATTTTTAAATTCTGACCTATTTCAGAAATTTTTTAAACATGTTATTTTTGAATGAAGAAAAATTAAAATTCCAGAGTTTTGGCATTAAATGTGTAGTAAGAGCAGACGTGTTATTTTCTTTCACTGGTATCATTCCTTGATTGTTAATTTCTTAAAACCCCTCAGAATTCCCACTCACCTGGGCACTCTGCTCAATGATAATCTGCATCACAGTCCATCCCAGCAAGGTTGGTACATCTGCTGGAATTTAGCTGTTAATTGGGGTGCCTGTTGGAGCTATGCTGGGTCTCTAACTGGCAATGACATCATGCACATATTGCTTAAATGTTCATGGGAGGATGGAAAAGGCAGAAATTATTTTGTACCAGCCAGTGGGTCAGTTTTGTTCATTCTTGAGGTACTGGGGAGCGCATGATGATGAGCAGGGTCAGACTGCCAGTAGGCCAGGGCTAAGTATTTACTCCTACGTTTTCAGCAGTGCTATAGTATAATTGTACAAGTAGCATAGAGGAGCACCAGATTCCTGGCTAAATACAGTGAGCATGCATGCCCATACATTTGCAAATCCATTTTGCTCCGGTGATAGCAGATTATATAAAAACAACACAATGACATCATTACAGTGGCCAAAACTGTCCTAATTATGATGCTTAATTTCTTCTATTCTTTCACATGGCTTGGGTATTGCTAGCATTTTCTGCCCATCTCTAATTGCAAGGTGCTGTAAGCCACCTCTTGAATCACTAAAGTCTATGCGGTGTAGTTACACCTATAGTGCCATTAGGGAGGGAGTTCCAGAATTCTGACCCAGCGACACTGAAAAAATGTGATATTGTTTCAAGTCAGGATGGGTATGGCTTAGAGGGAACTTGACAGTGGTGTGTTCCCAGGCATCTATTGCCCTTGACCTTATATCTGGCAGAGGTCACAAGTTTAGAAGGTGTTGTTAAAGGAAAGCTATATTCTGCTTGATGCCTTCCAATATGGTCCCATTTTCACCTTCCATGAGACAATTGGTATGCACCCTAGAAAGTGTTACAGAAAATTTTACTAGTTTAAAATAATAATTTTATTTATCCAAGAAGTAAACATTTTCATAGATCTTAGGAGAAGAAGAAGACATCTTACTCCATAGACATGGTAAAGTAATTGCTTCCATTGAGAAATCGCAAGCAAAGTGCACAGTAAAGCTTCCTCCACACTGCCCCATCAAGCATCCTGTGTTGGTACAGCATGAGTTTGATTAAAATGGAAGGCCCTCTCAGCACTGGTAAGTCAAGCATTTGTGGATCTGGCACAGAGTAAAGTTTCCTCTCCTCTGTCCTATCAAGCATGTCAGGGTCAGATGCAGTAAAAGTCAGTTACAGAGTAAAGCTCCCTCCACTCTGCCTAAGTAACCTCATAGAAGCACCTTTTACTGCACTATTCCCTATAGTGAGACTGATCATTTGGTGTGAACCACAAGCCACTTCACTTTGTGGACCTGTACCCGGTGAGAACCAGGATAATTCTAGGTCAGCTCACTTCATTTAGGACCAGCAGAAAGAAAGAAGGCTTTTATCTCACCAGTTTGTACTGGATGTAACCTCAAGTTTCATTAGTAATGTGGTCTCTGTGTGCACCACTCACTTCTCCTCACTTCAATTAACAGAATGAAAGCTCCTCTATACTTACAGTATTGTGTTCCAGTCATCTGAGCAAGGATACGGAAAGATTTGGACTGCAAATTGGCAGCCCGGCGAGTCCATTCATCCAGCTCCTGCTGGTGAGTCTGCTGGGGCTTGTTAGAGTTACGAACAACAGCCTGGTAGACTGGAGAGGTACTGTCGACTAGAGCATCTTTAACATGTAGGTTACTGCAATAACAGAGAGAGTTTCATTTTACAATGACACATCCTAACCCCTAACATTTCTCCAGCACTGGCAAACCCAGCATCTGCCACAGTATTCATCTGTGGTCGTGTTTATTCAGTTGGAGAAAGACATTTGCTAGCTCTTCTTTAGGTCCATAAATACCCTTTGGTCAACAACAAAAGTTTTTGAAAAAACCATTTTCAGAGGTACAAAATGTTTCCTCATTGTCCATTTTCTAAGTGCAGCTTACAAAAGGTTTGGGTAAGCCCTCTCCAAAGCCTGTGCAGGTGAAATTTCAAAGCAGGCTCCTGGAAAGAACACAATGTCATGCTGTAGTTAGTACCCTCCATGTTGAATAGGAAACCTTTTTCATGGCCGCCGGGATGCCCAGGGAAAAAGTGAAGTTGCATCCACTCTTTCAGTGACAGCGTATGTTACAGTTCTCAAACATATGCTACCATTGATCAGCTTTGCAAAAAAAATGTAATGTTTGAAAAGAACCAGCATACAAAATTTAAGTAAAAGAATATAATTCTGAATTATTGAAATTCACCAACCCTTTCCATCAGCAAGCATGAATTAATGTCTAAGTTTCAGTTGTGTCCAGTTATATTAGATCTGGAATGGTGGAATTACCGAATTGGGTTAACAATGGTATTAAACAAATCAAATAGGACCTAAAGTAAAATCAGCTCTGATTTAAGACAGACCTCATGTATACTCCCTCCCCTTGCCCAAGACAAAATAACACTGATCAGTGTGCCCATTAATACAGGCCAGAAGCCACTGGTCAATTATGCAGCAGCTGCCATTTTTTCCGGGTGGCAGTAAGGGTGACCTTAAATAAGGAAATAAGTCTTCAGGCCAAAATGTAGGCCACCCTTCCTTCCCCCAAAATGTTTAATGCTAATTAGTCTTAAATATGATCTGATTCCATGAGAGAAATTCGAATTCATCAGTCAAAAACATTTCCCTCACCCTCCAAAAAAAAGGAGACATTCAATTTTCTTTGTTATTGTCTACCGTTTGTATTTCCACAAGTTTAAACTCTTACATCAGTGCTGGTTTTGTTCAATTACCTAAAATGACTATGGTGAACACCCTCACTTCACAAGCTGGTGCACAGACTCAAGTCCCAGTGACAGGCAAATGTTAAATCGGTATAAGCCTGGTGGTCAGGTGGCAGGGTGAGTGGACCCACTGGAATTGAGCAGGATGGAAGGGAAAACAAAATAATTTGTCTCTAAACAGTGTTTTCAGGTGGGTTTAATACAGAGTGGGTAGTTGTGGAGCAGTGAGTTGGCTTTCTTACCCAGCTGTCCAAGGTGAGAGAGGATTGGAAAGCAAGACGGAAGAAAGAAAAAAAAAATGTAGGAATGGTGGATAATGCAAGGTTCTGAAGTGTGAGCCAACTTTTTATGAAAACAATTTTGAAGTCAGTTAGTTAAGTACTCACCTCTATATCAATGTGGGTCACCTTTCTTCTGTTCCAGACTGGGACTCATCAGCTGGTTATAGTTGGCTTGAAAGACAAGTCTTAGCTAAATGTCCACATTCATCTAGGTTGCTTTTGGCTACTCACAGATAACATATCCTCACCCTATCTCTTCCTGCAGAAGCCAATGAGTAGGGACAAGAGCATGGCATGCAATTAACCAACCAAGTCCAGAGTCCAGAAACTGTACATTTAGATCAACCATTGCAAGCAGATTTGTAATGCTTTTCATTTTCTGAAATGGGGTGGGGTTTCCATAAGATGTAGGGGCAGGAATAGGCCATTTAAGGTCTTGAGCCTGCTCCACCATTCAATAAAATCATGACTTAGTTTCCACCTACTTTCCCGCACTATCCTTCATTTCCTCAGTGTGCAAAGACATTAGAAGTGGAATGAGTGTATCATGATCCCCACCTCCTTTTAGAGTTGCTCCATCCCAATAATGGAGTTATTTCAACCATAATTTAGACCTTGATCATATGGATGAGAATAAAGCAACTAAACTGAATCAAGTCCAGATATCTTAAAACAGGGAAGGCAATTATTCTGTGCGATGAACGTCCAGGCACATTTGACCTATCTAAATCACATATAAAGTTTATAGTAAAGGAGCAACTCTTTAAAAATGTGGTATAGGTTGAAATTAAAAAATGAGCTGCAAAGATGATTGGACTGACAGGCAGTAAACAGCACTATGAAATATTACAAGTAGTTGCCAACCTTGGATCTTTAGGTCAAGGGACATTAATAATTTTCCCAAAAGCTGGGATGTTGAAGTTAAGTATGGAATACTGAAAATTAAATCCAGTTTGTACATATCAGTTAAAGAATTCAGAATCAGGACAAAAATATCAGATGAACTTCCATTCTATGTTATATGTATAATAGCAAACAAAATTGCATTCCATCATCATCAACATCCATCGGGTGTTGGGACAACTACCAGTCAATGCGACCTTAATTTCTACATCGAACTGAACATTCCCTAGCAGCCAACAGTCAACAAATGGCCAGAAAACAAAATTACTGTCGACGTTGACAGGAAAGGAATGTCTGTACCTCAGATAGATTCTCAGTAGAGTTTTATAGACAGCATATAGAATACGTGACCCAAACAAAAACAGGCTAAAAATTTTAATTCTTCATAGGCATGTCTCAAACATCTTGGATTTGCTTTAATACTCGCACACAGTCCTCATTCAGAAGGTAAACCACAGATAAACAGCACTATGCTCAACTGACCAGTACCTTAAAAATGTATTGTCTGACTATTTAACCAGCAGGTTTTGTATTCTGAAGTTACTCTTCGTTATCACCTGCTTTCTTTAATCATTTTTTGCCTGAAGTCTCATTTCCCTGCTACAGTCATATTTAGTAAAGAATGCTATCAGCAATGCCCGGCTGTTACCTCTTAATATCAACAGAAGTTTCATCATCAATTCATTGGTATAAACATTGTATGTAATTTTCTCAGGAAGGTCAGTGGCCCCAAAGCAAAACAATGCTAATGTATGAAGATTTCATCATAAAATCATTTAGCCCATTACTTGACAATGTCACAGTGAAGCCCTGTTGCTATTCCTGTCACTGGGGGCATCATCATAAGAGTCAGTACAGTCAATACATAGGAATGGATCATATAGACAATTTTGCAGTTGGTGTTACTTTAATTACTGTACACATTTCGCAGAAATGCTTTCATTCAGCAAATGTCAGTAGAACTACTAAACAATGTTAGAAAATCTCACACTTTTCAAAATAAGTATGGAACAGACAAATTTGATTTATGGTTGGCTAGGACAGCTGAAACTAATTTTTTTGGTCTCCAGCCATCTTTCACATCTCCAAAATAGCCTAACCACATCATTCCACTATCTCTGTGGATGACATGATAGATTCCCCTTGGTATTTTGTTATGTTTTAAACAATTGTAGCCTTTTTGACAACACAACCTTTTATGCATATGTCAGACTAAAACACAGCTCTCTGCCAATCGATAACTTACATTTCTTTTAAGATTAATATACTATGAAGTTTGTACCTCCTCAGATACAAACTCATATGATTAAACAACCTTTATCAATGGTTGCACAAAACATTCCAACAGTCTCCAACCTTCTACTCAAGACATTCTTGAGTGCATTCCTGATTATAGTCCACTCCAAAACGTTAAAGCAGTTATACTGTATACAAAAGTTAATTTTGTCACTGGGTGGTTTTGAACCATGACACCAAACACTGATAGTGGTAGTTAGCTCAGGTTAGCAAATATCAAAATCAAATGAATTTCTGGCTTATACAGTGAAAGAATCTATAGATTAGGGACAACCTATGGATTGATTTGGTAGTTTTAATATATGAGTTATAGTATATATTACACACTCAGTTCAACATTCCATGCAACATTTTGGGAATTGTAAGGGCAGACATCAGCATTTTAGGTTTACACTGATTTATACCAAATTAAAACAAGTGCAAAAACACTGCAGGAAGAATTCCTCATACACCTTAAGTTTTCTGGATAATATTTGAACTCACTTGTGTGTGCTGAAGGTATGCATTAGGAATGCAGGATACCTCAGGAACATGAAAACAACGTTTGGTCCCAAAAAGCCACCAAATTGTTGAGAACACCAAATGTTGACACCTCTGTGGCTCATTTATACCTGGTATCTTATTCCTTTAGTCTATTATTATGTATAAAACAGATTGGTCGAACATCTCTGTCTTCTTTTAATATTTTAATATTTAAAGTTTGACTTCCTCATCTGTGGTATCAATGGTGACCGTGATCAACTTTGGTGATATCCTTTCATATCTCACTTCTGTTAAGGTACAATCCAGTTTCCCTAACCTTGTCTTTAGTTTAAATTCTCAAAAAAACTGTCAACTTTTTTGCCTTGCACTGCACTCTCTCTTAGGACATAACACCTTTCCTACACAATTAAGAACCCTGACATCAACCAATGATTCTGTTCCTGTTTGGTTGATCTATACCCACCTTCCCATAACTACTGGTTTCTTTATTCTACTATTCTATAAATGAAATCCAATATGCTGTTTGCCAGGTTAATGGTAGCTGCCAGCTGGGCTGATTATGTTTGCAACAGTTACCATAAATTCACTTTTCTAATTAATATGCTGCTTTGCCATTTCATTAAGCCCATAGTCTTAAGTTTGGACTGGTTACTTTGTATTTATCTACTTTAAACTCTGCTGGTCAAGGTATATATTTTTTGAATCGCAAAGGATAAACAATGCCCATAAATAAAAAGGTCAATTTCTGAAACAGTATCCAGATGAACAATGGTTCATTAGGTGAAACAAATAACTGATGATACCCATCATTTTAGGAGGCTTTCATAAGTACATTATAGAAGTCAATTGCAGGCATTGCCTTCATACCATCAGATAACTAACCAGAGGTCAGCTTTACATTGCAGATTGTCAAATAGGCACAGATATATTATATGCAAACACTTCCACCTCTCATCACCATGCCCTAATACAAACATCAAACTGACATTAATAAAGCTGTCTGAAAAACACTGTGGTCCTGTCCCATTTCAGCCAAATCCTGTGAATTTGGACTAGCACATCATGTATTTCTCTTTAAGTCCATTAGGTCTACATTCACCTTACAGAACATTAAATGGCTTATTCTATTGGTTTATTTAAACACTTTGTGAGGCCTCTCTCTACATTGCAAGCTTCCAAGTTAGAAGCAGGTGGACTAGGGTAACACGAGACCATGAAAAGTAGGCCTTCACACCACATCCCATGAAACTGGGCTTCTTTGTACCCATTCAATTGCAACTACTGTGACTAGCATCAAACAACTGGCAGCACAAATTCCCCTTCCAAAAATATTAATGCTGTCAAGAGTCTAACAATTGAAAAGATGACAAATGGTCACCTTTCAGATTATTTGTTATTGATGGGGGTGGGAACAGTAAAGTGCTTTTAGAAAATATTCAGATTTTTTTTCCCTAAAAGTAGAAATCTAAAATGAAGATGTCATGACACAATTTCAATGCAAAACAAAAAACAGAAATTCCCACCTCCCCGATCTATGATTGAAATGGTGTCTCTGGCCCATGTGAGTTTAGTACAGATTGTGTTAAGAAACAATAGTATGGTTAGGAAAGATGGACCTACTTACGCAAATGGAGGTTCAGGACCACTGAGGGTCATATGATCAAACACCACCAGGGCATTGATCATTGGTGTCCATGATTATTAGGAGGTAGGTTGGTTTGATTGACAAGTAACAAAAAGTGACAATGACAATTGTGTGTTAGAAATGGGAATGGTGGAGGGGGTGAGAGAGTGGGGTAGGTGGGGTTGGAGGTGGTTGGTTGGGGTTGGAGAAAGAGAAGCAACATACAATTAGAATAAAATACTGGTCTACCAAACAAAACATGAAAATATCGCAACACAAATCCCTGATCTACAGAGGATTTTCAACATTGTCAACAATTCAGGAGACCTCAGTGAGCTATCCATAGGGGAGAGCATATAATTACAAGGAGAACTTACACTACATAACCTGTTACCACAGTGAAGGTACAATCAGATAAGGCCAGTTTCAGATATCATCAGTGTGGAAAACTCTAAAAGATGTTACACTATAAAGGTAACATGAGACCATTTGCAAAACGTGAGTCTTAATATAAAAAATCTTTTATATCATGAATCTGAGTTCAATGCTTTTTCCCCTTTTGCTTGTTAAATGATGGATCCGGTTTAGTACCCAACGTTGAGCACTTCCAAATCAATATACATTGTTAGATTGATGGTACAGATCTCTTTGTACAATGTCCCAATTTCAACCATTTTCTACCACCATTGTCACTCTTCCAACTTGAACAGGGGCCAATTCAGTGGACTGTAAGTAGCATTATCAATTTAATACCCAATAAAAATATGGGCTGCTCTGAATGCTTGATTCCCAGGAACTGAGGCAACCTTGAGTAAACTCATTTCACTGAGAACAACCAACAAAAAGTTAATTCCATTTTCTATGTTCAAATACTATGGCAGTGAATTACATCCCTCAATCAACTTAAAATCAACAGCAGCGATTATATTCAATGCTCCAGCTTGTTTGACGAAGTACAAGAATGATTGATGATAGCCTGAAATTCAAAATGGCATGGGAATTTCAGGCTGGCAAGACAGTGCAGTTCTTTCAAGATAGGTGAGCATTCAGCCACAGGCAGATAGATTATACCAGTTGGAGAACATACCAGTCATTTATTTAACACATGTACCAGTTATTACTGACTCTATGACAACCAAAGGGAGCCTTACAAACTGAAACCTTTACCTAATAGTAAACAATGCAATTATCAGTAAAACTTCACTCATGACATGAACTTTTAAAACCCAATCTAAAATGTAAGTAATGTATCAAATTGTGTTGACAATTAAGGCCCCTCTGCCAAGGTCAAGGCTGCAAAGAAAGGAGACACATTATGATTTCAACCTCTGACTGACCCCTAAGGAATCCTTCCAAGTGTTCAATGCCAGATGTAGGCAGCACATATACAGTCAAATGTACATATACAAACACACAGGCTACATCTACAGACAGCTCATGTGCCATGGAATAAGTTGAATAGGTTGGATAAAGCTGTTGCACAGAGAGACTCTGAAGAGCAAAGTTCCTAAGAAATTCTGAAAATTAAACTCACTAATGTCTGTTCTATTCACAGCGCTAAAAAATAAAACTACACAAACCCAGCCAATAATTTCATGATGGGCAGTTGGCCCTTTTGCTTCACTTGAATACCTGGACCTGATAGGATGCAAGGGAGATCTGGTGTCAAATCCTGGCTCTTGCCACTCAAACATGTCAAACAGGAACCATTCCTTTGATTTTGCCCTGTGGGCAATGGGCTGAGATGGGCAGTTTATGTTGAATACAGGCACAGAAACAGGCCATTGAGCCAAACCATCCTTTGCCATTGAGCAACACTAAGGGAGAAAGGAAGCACAGAGAAAGATGAGAAAAAACATACATCAAGATGGCAGCTGCAAATCAGTGCTTCATTGCTGAAGTTTGTATTTCTGAGGCCAGACACCTCTCCAAATGTCCAGGTTCAACACTAGTTCCCAGTCTCTTTTGTTTTTAAACCCTCATGGCAATGGACTCTCTGCAGAGTTTGAAAGGACATGTTCCCAAAGGAATTGCTCAACCTATCAGGACAGAAGTTAATTTTTCATTTGCTATCATCAATTAATTACCATCTTTTAACTATATGTTAACCAGTTCAAACAGCCTTATTCTTTTTGTCTATAAGCTTCAAAGATACACTCTGGTTCCTTAGGGTCTTTGCATGCAGGCAACAGATCTTAGATTCTCTTAGCCTACCTTGAAAGATCACTGCCTCTGGCATGAGCCTGGCCAGCAATGGCATCCATGATGGCATCTTGGGAGTACATGCTGATGGGGGTGTTATACTGGGCATGGATGATGGTGGCCTTTCCACCAGGACCTTTCACTTCGATGGGCTTGTGTGTGGACAACACAGAATCCTTCAGGACGTTGGGGTTGAAATGATCCGTAAACTCACTATCAGTCGTGGGAGTGAGAAAGGACAGGAGAGCAAATGGTGAAAGGAAGAAAGCAATGCAGGGAAACATATCTCTGGTGAGGGAGAGAAGCGGCAGTGGGTAAGCAGAAGTTACTTGTACCTCCCTGTTTCTGATTCCAAATTCAGATCCCAGGAGGAAATTACATATGCTTGTATGAAAAGACAACTTGCCAATCTTCTATGTAAGCCCCTCTATTTCAATTCCCTCATTCTGAGGCTTAAATATGCTGACTATTGTACATCCTTTTGGGTCCCACTTTTAATATCTTATTGATGGTTGGGCTAAAGGATGACATTTGATAAGGTGCCACAAGATACAAGCTCACGGATGTTAGTGGTAATGTATGAACTTGGATAGAGGATTGGTTTACACAAAGAATACAGTCGGGATAATGTGGCTTTTTCAGGTTGGAAAGACAACAATTAGAGTGCCACAAAGATTAATCATAAGGCCTCAATTGTTTATTATCTATATTGACAACTTGGAAGAGGGGGCAGAATGTAATGAATTTGCTGATGATACAAGAATAGGTAGGAGGGCAAGTTGTAATGAAGACACACTGAATCTGCAAGGGGATATACATAGGTTCAGTAAGTGGGCAAATACTTGGTGGATAGAGCTTAAAGTGTGAGGTTGAACACTTTGGTAGGAAGAATCAAAACCAGAATACTATTCAAATTGATAGAGACTCCAGAAAAGTGCAACACGTGGATCTGAGTGTTCTTGTGCATGAAGCTGCAGCAAACAATTAAAAAGGCAAATGGAATTTTGATCTTTATTGCTAGCGGGTTGGAGTTTAAAAATAGGTAAATCTTGTTACAGTTGTAAAGGGTATTACTGAGGCTGCAGCTGGAGAATTGTGCACAATTTTGGTCAATATATTCAAAAAAGGATAGACTGGCATTGAAGACAAGACAAACGAGACTCATTAGGCTGATTCCTGAGATGAAGGGGGTGACTTATCAAGAACAGTTAAACAGGTTAGGACTTTATTCATTTGAGTTTAGAAAAAATGAGGGGTGACCTTATTGAAACATGCAAGATCCAGGTGGGTTTCACAGGGTAGATCTTGAGAAGATGTTTCTGCTAGTGGGAAATCTTAAATTTGGGACATAGTTAGAGAATCTCGTAAAACTGAGATATGAAGGAAAGGGCTGGAATTTTCTACACCAGAGAGTTGTGGAGGCTAAATCACTGAAAGTAGATAGATTTTTGAAATATCAAGGACTGGAAGGCTATGCTGAGCTGGCACAAAGGAGAGGTTGAAGCTATGATCTTATAGAATGGCAGAGCAGATACTTCTACTCCATTGTCTTATGTGACTCCTGTTAAAAGTGGTGGATCTGTCACTGTGAGTCACTGAAAGGAGAAAGCAGTAGTAAAAGATCTGTTGATCTTGGGAGGTACTATCAAGATTCAGCCCTCAAACAGTTCAAACAGAAAAAGAGAACAAAAATAAATACACACGATTAAAAGAAATGTCAAAGGTCTTTAATGTCATTAAAGTTGTACTTAAAACCAAAGACTTACAGTGATTTTAAGTAGTTTAATAGTGTTATGTTAGCAAATCGATCACAGTATATCCTGACCTCTACCGCCTTGTTGGAGACAGCTAGGTGGACTCAGCGGGGGCTGCTGGAGGGAACCAGGGAGAATTCAGAGGACAGGCACCATGTTTTTATTTGCAGAGATCCTCCAGTGAAGGTTAATTAACTCCAAAGAGACCAATCAATGGGAAATGAGGCTTCACTTAGGGACAGCAATGGATATGGAAGGAGGTAACCAAATAGCTCTGAAACGTCTGCTTATCCATACCCAATGTCTGCGTATTGCCAAGAGCAAGTACAGGCCATGCAGGTCACTAGCTCAGTAGGGGTTGTTCAACCAGGTCTCAGTTTTTGCACTTCAGTCCATCCATACCTTCCCAGTTCATGTAAAGACAAATGTGTGAATCATTTAAACAGAAATGTTTCTTGCATTATAACTTTGCAGTACTTTCAAACAAGTAGCCATCAGCAACTCAATTCCAGGAATGTTGGAGAACACCTTTAGATGTAAAGTTTAAGGAATAAGCAATGTGACTATTTCCTCTCCACTCTGCTGTCACTTAAGTAAAGCAGTTCTACTTTACCCTCCATAAAAGGAATTTAAGAAAAAGAGGCTTGAAGATCTCGAACTAGCACAGAACCCCCTCAATGATCAGACCAGACTCAGCATGCATCGTACAAAACTGCTCCAAATATCCAGCATGCAGCACACAACTCCATCCTTCTGCCCAACATGCATTGCTCAACACATCCTTCTACCCAGCATGCACTACGCAAACCAGTATGCACTGAAAAATCTAGCTTAAGGCCGCCAATGGTCATAGGGTGGCATCAAGGAAGTTTTTCACTTCAATATTTATGTTTGAGCTTCCCCCACCATCAACATTTTTTCAAGCATCAAATCGCAGAATTGCCAGGACTACACTTGGCTGCATTGAAAACCAGCAGTTCCTGAGTGGACAGTTCCAATTTCATAAAAATACATATATACATCAGACGCATAACCACCAATTCTTATTTTCCCTCTCACTATCTTGGCAATTGTTTGGAGTTAAAATGTAGTATGCAGGGGATAGCCTGGATCTACTCAGGTCTTGTCTATTCAACCCCAATTCAAAACAACATCAATAAAACTGGCCTTGAATTTCTGGAGTCTTAGTAAGAGGAAGATCAATAGTGGTGAGGTAGTTGTCACCATGCTGCTGGTCTTGGAATATAAAAGTGAAGGGGATATCTTGCTACACTTGTAGAGGGCATTGGTAACACCCTATCTAGAACGCTGCGTGCAGTTTTGGTCTCCTTATTTAAGCAGGATATACATGCATTGGAAGCAGATCAGAGGATGTTCACAAGGTTGATCCCTGGGATGGAGGGGTTTTATGAGGAAAGTTTAACAAGTAGGGTCGACTCTAGTTTGAATTTAGAAGAATGACAGCTGATGTTTTGAAAGCTATAAATTTCTGAGGAGGCTTGACAGATTAGATTTTGAAGTGTACCCCTCATGAAGAAATTTAGAACTGGGGACACAGTTTCAGAATAAACAAGCTCCAATTAAAGATGCAGATCAGGAGGAATTTCTTTCCACTGAGAGTTATGTAAAAGGCTGGGTTATTAAAAATAGTCAAGAATGCAATAGAAAAATTCTTCAGTTATAGAGCTGTCAGGAGTTATGGGGAACATTTAGGGAAGTGGATTTGAGGCCAAGGTCAGATCAACCATGATCTTTTTGAAGGACACACCAGCCTTAAGGGGATCAAAAGAAATAGGAACATGTGTAGGTCTTATGATCTTTTGTGTCTGTTCATTCTACTGCTACGTCTATTGGAGGATTGGACAAGTGATGACCATGCTCTCTATCCAGAAATTAGTAACATTTAAAAAGTAAAGGCCACATTAAAGTTGCCAGCTCTGAATTTGCTGCTGGGCTGCTCAGGGTTTCTTTTAGCAGTGTCCTAAGATTAATCATTGATGCAACATAAAACCATGTGAGCTAGGAAGAGATCACATGTTAAATGTGAAATAAAATTGGATCATACAGCCTTAGTGAATTATTTTGTTAATGTTAAGAACTCCTCCATTTGTGATAGCCTCATTTACTCCTCGGTCAGAAACAGCATGGATTGGAGTCCCCCCACACCACTGTAGCTTTGACCTGCGAACAGCTCCTTTTGAACCAATGCAATATTCTCATTCCCAACCAGCTGTGCAAGGTGAAGTAGCTTTCTTTTCAGCTCAACCTAAACTCAGATTCCTCATAAGGTTTTAATTCTGAATGTAACAGAACATTTTCCTATGCCTCTGGGATTCCCTGCAGATTAGAATGGATTAATGGAGCTGAAGATATAAAAGGAGTCATTACTTTAGATTCCTGCACAGAAGCAGTCTTGACAAATATGAGCATGGGTCAAAGAGTGCGGCTCGAGGTTTATTCTCTCAACCTTTATCACAACTGGAAAAGCTCTGTAAGCACCTAATTATAAAACCCAAATAATGACCCATCAGTAGGCAACATTGTTGTTACTCTGAAGTCTATGAACTCATTCAGGGTCTAGGTTTCTCTCCCAACGCCACTTACTTGAGGCCATTTTCAATTGTGAAACAGACTCGGTCAGCAAGCTATTCCACCAAGGGAAGGTACTGTAATGACAATCAGATTCTCATCCATTTCACACATAGTTCCACTGTGAGCAGCAAGTTAAACCTTAGTGGTCTAACAGAACATCAGTATGGTGCTGACAAGCAGTTGTGATCAATTCTTATTCAGCAAGGCAGCAAGGGCTGTCTGAAAGCATACAGACAGAGCCAGGGACAAAAAAATTGCTGAAAAAAGTCAGCAGGTCTGACAGCATCTGAGGAGACAAAACAGAGACGACAAGAGTTCTGAAGAAGGATCACTGGACCTGAAACATTAATTCTGATTTCTCTCCACAGATGCTGCCAGACCTGCTGAATTCTTCCAGCAATTCCTGTTTTTTTTTGATTTCCAGCATCCACAGTTGTTTTGGGTTTTTAGACACAACCAGGGCTTCGGTGAAAGGGCAGGGTGGAGGGAACACTTGCCTATCCAGAGCAGGTTACTTCCAGCTTGACAGGATCGGCTCTTACAAAGCTGAGTGGATCTCAAGTCTAAAGAAAATGTATTCATGTACATATGAATGCTCTTCAGCTGTTGCTAAAGATCACCTTGAATCAATGGTAACAAGTCCCTCTTTTGATCGCCTTCTCCTAGTGAGGGTTTGGTGCTTGGTGGAACTTTGCACTAGACCCAGATTCTACTGAGACATTTCAGAGCCTAAAGGAAACAATTGTCTCCAAGAAATCTGGGAGCTCACTCCAACACATCTCTTAAACGTTGAGGAAAAGGCAATAGTTCATGATCTGCCATGGTCCCGCCAACAGAATTAAAAGGTTCAATCTCCAGTCTCACACA